CTCCTCCTGCTTCTGCTTCGTATCTCTTATACGTCTTGAAATTTATTGTTGGAATATTTAAACAAGCTAACAATTTGTTTAAATTTGTGAAACCTATTCCGCTGTGGATCAGTCCTAGAAAAAGATTTAACTTATGTATATGTGGCTGTTGATTTATTGTATATTAGGCTTGTTTTTGAAGTATTATGAATAATAGTTTGCTGTATAAATAATACTAACCTATTGCTAATTTGGTATTAACATCAAATCGTGAGTTGCGTCTTGATTTTCCAGGTGGAGTGTGTTGCTTTCCTGTTACAACAGGATTAACCAATAAACATTTATGGCATCGTATGAGCAAAACAGATCCAAGGCCTCGACGTTCTTCTTGTTCAATATTCTTTAATGATAAAGTTTCTTTGCAAGATGTGCACCATAACTGTTCACCGAGAAATTTTAAATCCACGATTCGGCGTCCTTCACCAGGCTCATTCAAAAGATCTTGTTCTTCATCGATATCTGTTGATTCTTTCTCCGCTCTACTTGTATTTTCCATACAATCATCTGGTGTAGTTTCGACTTGTGTCTTCAAATTACGTTTCCCAGTATTTGTCTGTGCTAACCGTTGATTGTACACTTTTTCAGTGACAACTTTTCCTTTCCACATGTAACGTTTTACTTTTGGCATTTTCGTAGCGCAAGCGAAAACTAACCTCAAACGATGCGTCTGTATATTACACGTGCTCGGAGCACACTTCGCGTTCACGCAGCTGATGTCGAGTGAGATCAATGCTACCAACTTACAGAAAATGCGATCGAAATTACATTTTGCCGCGATCAAAATACTTTTTTATGAGAGCTATTGTATTTAATTTATTAATAAATGTATAGTAATAAATGTAATATTAATAAATAAATAACGTAATATAATTTCATTAGTATATAAATAAATATATAGTAATAAATGTAATATTAGTAAATAAATAACGTAATATAATTTCATTAGTATTTTTAAACAGTAATTACTATGATTTGTTACTTTTTAAAGATTTTCACACTTTCAGATTTTTGTTTGTGTCAGTTGCAAGTCAGGTACAGTCTTTCTAAAAACCATTAAAAGTGAAAGTTTACATACGAGAAAATATGCATAAAAATGTCTCTATAGCTCTTGAAAACACAGGCAATCGTTATTTTAATAAAATATTAATATAAATATTACTTTCCAGTAAATATCTTCTTAAATATGTTAATTAGTTTTATGTTACGTTTCTTAAACTTTTGGCAGAGATCTTACGGGTCATACAACCTTAATTTGGTATGATTAAATAAAATATACACATATATATATATATATATGTATATAATGCTTTTTTATTGCTAATTTATAGCCTTTGCGATGTTATTGTTTTTGTCGATTCGATAATAAAATAGTAACTCTGCCAATTTAAATTGATAATTAGCACAGCCACAAAGAAAAATCAAAACATATTAGATAAGAACGTATTTTTTAGTGCTATTTCTATTTAATTACTCTATTGCTAAATTGGTTATGACATTCTTAATTCTGAAAATTTGTCCTTCAATTGCACTCTGCACTAGCACAACATCGTATAAATTATTAATTTTATCGAGTATCTTAAAGATGGACTACATATCTCTTTGATTTTATTACTTGATATTCTCATTAAATTCGATTTTATTGTTTCATCCCTTTGTAAAGTACTCCCAACTACTCCGTGCCTGCACAATACTGTAAACAGTGTAAACTTGCAAATTCGATCATCGAATATTTCGATTGGGTTTATCTGATTTAATTACAAATATTAATTACAAAAGTATTTTTTTTAGATTCTGAAACTGAATATCTGCGATGAAAAAACAATGATTAAACATTTTTTTATTTATTACAATTTAACGATTTATTTTTAGACACGAAACATTTCCAAGAAAAGAGAAAACTGAAAACAAATGACAAAAAACGAATGACAAAAACGGTTTTTATATGTGTAAAATCTAAATTCTTTGCATTTCGGATATTAATGGGAATCACAATTGCCCAGTAGAGGAATATTCTTAAGGGGCTACATCCACCTAGAGGCTCGAAAAATAGGTCGAAATTCAGATTTTTTTTTTTAGAAATTATTAGTGGGAATGAAACGAACTTTGTTTGTACTTAAAGATACATGTTTTGAGAGCTTTAAAAAAAATTTTTATTAAAAAATTTCCAAACACAAAAAAGTTATAGCCGCCGGCAGATGATGAGTTTTTTTTCGACACGTTCGGCGGTGGACATCAGATCTGGAAAACCGCTCGATGGATCGTTTTGAAATTTATACAAAATACGCTGAGAAACATTTAGAAGTCGTTGACGATCTTACTTTTTTTAAATCGATCTTTATTTTTTAATAATTACGTAAAAATGACTATACATTTTCTCACAAATTGTCCATACCTGAGTGTCATTTCGTTGCCATTTTGTTTAAAAAATCAATTTTAAAAATCGGCGATCATCAACGACCTCTAAATGTTTCTCAGCGTATTTTGTGTAAATTTCAAAACGATCCATCGAGCGGTTTTCCAGATCTGATGTCCACCGCCGAACGTGTCGAAAAAAAACTCATCATCTGCCGGCGGCCATAACTTTTTTGTGTTTGGAAATTTTTTAATAAAAATTTTTTTTAAAGCTCTCAAAACATGTATCTTTAAGTACAAACAAAGTTCGTTTCATTTCCACTAATAGTTTCTAAAAAAAAAAATCTGAATTTCGACCTATTTTTCGGGTCTCTAGGTGGATGTAGCCCCTTAAATTATATTCAAATTATCTTATTTTTTTATATATTTATTTTTTAATTTGTAATATTTAATATAATTAATTTAATTTATTTAATTATCACTGTGGTAATATTTCGCTTACTTATTATTTATATGTTATTATACATTGTACAAATGAATAAAAGATTTATGTATTGCACAAAAACATTAAGAAAACTTACTTATGTAAGTTATGTCCTTGTAGAGCATTTATTAATAAAAGATATAAAGGGGGATTATGAAAAAAAAAATACAATTCCAGAGACGTGCTCTATATTAAATTTATAAATTTGAAATATTGCATTAAATTATGTTCTATTAACCCTTTCGGTACGAAGAATGACTATAGTCACTATAGTCACCATTATACTGCTCACTGCGGCTGAGCAGTGACCATAGTCACTGTCCACATATGCTGCTCACTGCGGCCGAGCAGTGACTAGTCACTGTCCACGTCCTACTCACTGCGACCGAGCAACTTGAAATATTAACTTGAAATGCTTCTGTTGATAAATTTTTTAAATTGTTTTTATTATTGAGTTTTATTACATATAGGTGAGAGTTGGATATTGCCAAACCCCTAAGAACTGAAGCGTATCTCAGAAATGCTTCAAAGAAACAAAATGTGCAGTTTTAGATAGGTAATTTATTTGGCTATCCATATATCATAGCAATAATGTTGAAAGTTAAACACAAACTGAAATATTAACAATTTTCCAAAAAATGAGAAAACGCGGTATTACCGAACTGGTCTGATAATATCGTGCCTATAAAAATTACTCTGGCTTCAGCCAGTGACATTTTTATATGTAGGTACCTACTAGACGATATTAAGGTGATTCTAAAGCCGTGATCCTAACCGGTTTTTTTCTTAGCACTAATCTTTTAATTGGCTTTATAGAAATACAAAATTCTTGTCTAGAATTAAAGTACGCATCAAAATCTAGGTCATGGTGATCGAATTTATATCGAAAACAAAAAAAAATTAATATTTTTTGTTATACGTGACGACCACCACATAAATTCGACCACCATGACCTAGATTTTGATGCGTACTTTAATTCTAGACAAGAATTTTGCATTTCTATAAAGCCAATTAAAAAATTAGTGCTAAGAAAAAAACTGAAAAAACCGGTTAGGATCACGGCTTAAAGATCACCTTAATATCGTCTAGTAGGTATGTACCTACATATAAAAATAAGTGAATGTGTTAACAAATAACGATCATTATAAATTTAAATCAAAACTTAAGCAACGATCTTTTCTGTAAGCACCTTACATTGTAAACTAAAAAGTCTTGGTAACTCTTAACACACAGTTATCGTAATACCTATTGTCTATGAATTGCAAAAACAACTTTAACCTTATTCGGTCACACTTCCCGAGAATCCCGTACCGGTCACACTGGGTAAAATACACCCCCAGCGTGTTTGCACGTGTATAAAAAATTGTAAGTGACCTTAAAAAAGAAAAAAAATATCTTGTTGTAGTTTAAGTCTTCCTTAAAAAGACTGTATAGGTTTGATTTGCAAAAAATTAATTTAACATATGTAAAAAAATTGTTAAAAACAAAAAAGTCGGAAAAGTGACTTTTCACAAAAACTAATGTAATTTTTTCAATTTTTAAGATATTTTAATTTTTCAAACGGTTTTTTTATCCTCAGGTGACGCACTTTTCACTAATTATTGCAGTTTATGCGGCCGTTCCAAAAAGTATATTGATTTTGAGGTTATAAAGGTGCGATTTTTTGCGGAAAAAAATGTCGAGAGAGAACGGGCCGAAAAATATACCACCGACGGGGATCGATACTTGAAGGTCCCAACTACCTGTAGATGGCGGCATAAGGTCCATTTCCATTGGTTTACTGGGTCGTTTTCGAAGTCAAAAAACGCTGGAGTGTATTTTACCCAGTGTAACCGAATAGGGTTAAAATTTTATCAGTCTCCAAAATTCAATCAGTCTCAAAATTTCAACTTTGGGCGCGAAATTATCAAACTCAATTATTTCACTTTACAACCTTAAAATATATAGAAAAAAAACGCGTGTTTCTAAAATTATTTTGGAACCTAATTTTATAATGCCTATCAAATCAGTCAAGTTTATTTCTCTAATGTAAATATTATGTTACTCACCTCTTATCGAAACTACCAAAATTGCAACGAATAAGCAGAGAAGCTTCCAGAGCGCACTGTGTTTACATGGACGGCCGGAACGCATGATAAATTATTTCGGGTATTTCGTGTTACTTTATGATGATATTAACATCATTGTAGGCGCGTAATACAAATAATTATTGAGTTAAACAATGGCGCGGAATTGTCAACCGCGCGGTAATATCCAACTCTCCTCTAATAAAATTGAAGACGTTGAAAGTCGAGTGCCTAGCTTTCTCGGCCGAATCGCGTATGTCGGCGGATCGACGCTTTGGCCGCTGGAGGACCGTTCGCGTCTCGGTCGCTCCGTACCAAAAGGGTTAATATAGATCTAATGATTTATAAAACTTGTTGTTATTTAATGATGTCTATATTAACCCTTTCGGTACGGAGCAACCGAGACGCGAACGGCCCTTCAGTGGCCGAAGCGTCGATCCGCCGACATACGCGTTTCGGCCAAGAGAGCTAAACAATAATCTTCTATAATTAGTAAACGCTGAACTTTCTGATGAAATTTAATCAAAAATCGACATTAGTCATATCTGATTATAATTATAATTAATTTTATATTCTGTTTCTTTAACAGATGTTTAAAATTATAATTTTTTAAATAATTGTCTAAAAACTGTAAAATAAGAAATGTATAAGATACATATACACATATATATGTATATGTATATACAATTATACA